CCTATACATGTAAGATTGATCAATACTGACATCATATATCAACTGCTTCAATACACTACATCATTATGGCAAGAATTTAAAGCGCTAACGGAAAAACTCATTTTTGTTTTTCATGATAGAGTGATGTTACAAAAGAGGACATTCGATTCAGTTTAATCTATTCAAATGTTACCCGATGGACATGTTAATCCTCAGATTTCTGTGACCGATCTATCACTGATCAACAAACACATCCTTTCTATCCAGAAACCTGACACAAGACCATCAATCCTGCCATTAATGTTTCATTGTCTGGACATCATTACTTTGAAACCAGTAATTTCCCCTGTCTCCAATTTCTTATTAGAAAGGTCAGTTCATAATGAGCATTTTCCCTTCCATAAATCCTCTTCAGCAGGTACAAAGCTAGCAACTAATAGGGTTTAGCCTGGGCACAATTTGTTAGGAAAAAAATAAACAAAAGAGAAAAAGGAAGCAATGGTAAATGTGTAAAATAGATATGTTATTATATGTAATCTCTAACACTACTGTGCTTTTCAATTGTTTTTTCCTACATAATTGTAAGTTAAGCTTCAATGTGAATAACAATGTTGGGGATGTAATATGATACCAAAAAACATTAAATACAATGTTGAGAGAATTCATAGGACAAGAGCTTGCTATTACTGAAAATGTCAAATTCTTCTAAGATGGTTTGAAATTGTTATCTAACACAAAAGGATAAGTGGTGTTATGAAAAAAAAAAATCTTACCCAACATTACCGATAAGCTTCAGAGGCTGTGTGAATAAGTGTGCACTTGCGGTACCACCAGCCTTTTAAATCTATGCATCGATCTTCTCAGTTGCCCGATAAAGCTTACCTCCAATTCACTATTGGCATGAAAACAAAACAGCCAACTGTGCTGGTTTCAATGCTCAACCTTACAAGTTTAATTCTGGTGACATATATTCAACAATACGGAATATTTGCTTTCCTCCACTGATCCATTGTTGGAACAAATGGTGGACAAATCCACATGGAGTACTGTCAATGAGCCATGATTCTGTCAAACTAAAGAGCATTCAAACTATTTCACCTCTGCATGATTTGAAAGCTACCTGGGCCTTCATGTCTCAGATTCTACTGAAACTTCAAAGGCACTGTACAATAACATATTTGTGTGGGTTGCAACTGTGCACACACACTCCTTTTTCTATAAATAGTCGAGAAACTCGCGAATTTGTTTTGCCTGCTTGGCCATAAAATTTCAAAGTGTGAAAAATAGTCTAAGACGTTCACTTTTAGTTGCCTGTAATATTCGCTAAAACCTGTTGCCAGGCATATCATTAAAACTATCCGACAGGCATTTCATAATTTGTTTCAAAATGTCTAATAAATACATAATCATAACTTCTGAAACACATTTATTAATTGTAAACTAAGAACTTGCAGGTAACAAGAAAGTTTATATAGGATACATGCATACATATTCCCCTGACTAAGCTTTGTGAGATATTAATAATAATAATAATAATTATTATTATTATTATTATAATATCAAACAACTAAATAGAGCTTCATGTGTTCATAGATATTTGAAAAGTTACATGGTGACATAACACACAAAGGAAAAACCATAACTAAATTCAAAACTTTTTTCACTCAACAGCCCCAAATCTACACCCCCATTAGACTGATATCCGTATAGATGATGACTGCATGAACACGATTTGAAATGAGAGATGTCAGGGGCACAATAAAAGATGGCAGTTAAGACAAATTATAAATACCTATGTAGGTGTGCAAAACTACAAAAATTGATACCAATCCTAAAGATAAAGAGTTTGTGGGGGAGTGTCTTTATAGCTCTTCACAATACTCTGCATCCTATATGACCATTCATAAAAAAATGTAACAGAGATTTTTTATCAAAGTATCTACCAACTTCTACCAACTTGTATATCTGAGCAACCATGCATCACAATAACAATCACCCAAACAGAAAATAAACAGTATACCCTGTAAAAAAAATAAAAATAAAAATTGCTTATATGTGTACGACATTTAGGATCATCTGAAAGATACTATTCACCCAATGTGAAAGAGATGTAAGGCCAGATGGCAAAGAGTTTGGATAGATGGATGGTTAATAGAAATACAGATGGGTCAACATCATTAATAGTTCACCAGATGGATGGAATCTTCCACATATAGCTATAATTATATATTTAGGAAATCAACCAAAAAAAAAAGAGAGAAGACAAAGGGTTTTTTTCATATGGTCTCTCAAGCTTCATTTCAAAGCTGGGCTCTGGAATTACTACAATCTTAAAACCATGCTCGTTACATTATTCCACTGCAAGTAGACAAATCTATAAATAGGGGTTACCAAGGACAGCAACCAATGCCATTCAGATTGTCAACACATAAAAAAGATATCATTAAAGAGACCTATAATAAGTTCAACTATGGCCAACCCAGTAGTGTTAGTAGTATAAATTAAACAACTGATGACGATACAAAAGAAACATTCTGATGAGAAGTTATCCATATTATCACCACCATAGGCTAAACAGATTGTTGTTCAGTTAAATAAATGCATGCTTTATAAGCATGGACATGTGCCTTAGGCCAAAGCATTTGTAGCATGATAATATAAGAAATGGATAAAGAAAACCAACTTCTCTCAAAAATATTTATCAGAATTCAAAGAACTGCAAGACAATGCCACTGTCATTTTTGACTTAATACTTTGGCATTTATGCTATGCCACTCAATAGAAAAATCTTGTCCATAAACAAAATAAAACCCTATGTAGTATCCAATAATCACCTTCCTCCCAAATGTTGGCACCTCTATCCACTTGATAATTATATTCATAAGCTGGAACATCTTGATCCAATTGCGATTGACTTATTACAGGAGGACTGCCCTGGACAGTCACAGGATGGTATTCTGACACTTGGGGCCTGCTTCACAAAACTTTAGTCTGTAACTTGGTCCAAACTTTTAGTCCGAATTTTTAGTCTACTTTGACTGCACAAGATAAATCAGTAATAGCACAATTAATAGAATACCATGGCGGTTTTATAACAAGAAAGTTGCAGCTCATGTCATAGGCCAACAATTACTCTATTTTAGTAGACTACTATTCACTTAAACTGAAGTGAAGTAAATCAAAATTTCCCCTAATAACCTCTTTTGAACTCTTATGAAAAAACACACAAAGAATGGGTTCATATATCATTGTCGTAATTATCAGCCTTTGTTTCATTAGTGTGCGTCATTGACATATTTAAATATGTAAAAAATATCAATAAATGTCATGGCAAAGACAGAAGGTGCATATTTACATTTCCTCCCATGTTGAAGTATATATTGCCCTAAGCATAAATATTTCACTAAGCTTCCTACACAAATCAATCAATGACATCAATGTACACATCTGGTACTGAAACTTAAAGATATAATAAACAAGAAGGCTGAAATGCAAACTATGTCTTTAATGTTAAAAACACATAATAATATTACCACATCTGTAATGTTAGCATTCATTTAACAACATGTATGTTATCATGACTCAAGCCTTCTAAAAGATAAAATTTCAGCATTACTCAGATTTACATTAGAATGTGTTCTGAATTAGAATGAGGATAATGAACAAATAATAGTAAATTTCTGATATAACAAAGGTGGTTTATGTCAGGAAAATTGAGTAAATAGTCATTTATTTGAAGGCATATTGCCATGAAAAGAGAGAGAGAGAAGATTTCAAGTTGTGAACAAAATCATCACTAGTTAAATTGGGGTTGCACAAATAAACTTTTTATTTAAAATTAAATTTTTAATTTAAATTTTTAATTTAAGATTAAATAATTTTTCTCCGTTACGAGATCATGAGAGCCATTCTTAGGTGTCCAAACATAACTATAAGCATAAAACAAACAATTATGTTCTGCACAATATGAGTTCACATAAACAAATTCTGAAAAATTACAATTTATACAAAAAAATAATAAATAAATAAAAATATTGATTCTTTTCCCAACCTTGGTCAAAGGGATATCCATTGTTTTCAAAACTTACATAATACTGGTGTCCATTTCTTAATATGTTTACAAAATACAAATACGCAAGACAGTTTTAACCACCCTCATTTAAGTTATATCCCAATTCAAACAACATTAAAATTTTTATTTTAGACCAACAGTAGCATTTTAATATATCAATCCTTCTCATAACCATAAATCTGAGTAAAATGTATACTATTCATCTTTCCTCTTGACAAAATGGTGCATGAAAATAGACTGACACATCTTTGTTACATAAGATTCTTAGTTCTTATGCTTATGCACTGCTTTTAAATAGGTGATAATAAACCTCACATCACCTTGGTAAACAAGCTTTACTTGACGTAAGAAGGTAATTTGACATGATGAAGTATTAGAATAAAACGTGACAAAAACAGTTTGTGAGTAGTATAACAACACAAAAGATAGATGCACTGGCAGAGCTGTAGGCAGAGATGCAGCTTTTTCCTCACCTGAATAACATTAAATTATAATTTTCAATAATAATAATAACTGATGAAATATGACTAAAAACAGCACAAAATTTTCTTTTTTTTTGGGGGGGGGGCAAGTAAATTTGAGTAAAACTTTATTTTGGGCAATTTTTTTTTTTTTTTTTTTGCAAGAAGGGGAGAGAACATACACATAGCTGGGGTAGGGTGGGGTGGTTGGGAGAGTCAGGGATTCTAACTTACCCCCCACCCCCTTTCTGCCAGAAAAAGAATTGTTGAGTAAAACTTCATCTAGGTACATAACAGTTTGATGGTAAAAGTTCCACTTTTTATGAACCCCCCTTGAAATCGCTGGCTAAGAGCCTGAAGCAGTTTCCCAAAGAGAAAAATACTGCTTACAGGCATGCTCATGTAAAAAAATAGATAATGTCATTGAAAAAATAACAATTAACACATGCAACTTTTAAAGATATATTTATTTCATATATAATGGTTTTGAAAACTTCTTTAAAAGTACATTCATATATAAAGCAAACACATATCTTAGATTTTTTTTTAAAGTTGTGAAATTTAAATGTGGAGGATAAAAAAGCATCATTTATGGCTAGTATTCATTTTTAGGCAACAAGTAATCTGGAGAAGCAGAAATTTATTCAATGTATAATAAAAAAGTTGCCATTTCAATGAATTCACTTGAGAATGAGAGAAGAGAAAAGGAGGAATGACTTGGTAACGTAAAACGTCAAATTTTATTAAATCTTCGAAACAAACAGGCTTAAAAAACACATATAATTCGCCCACATTACTTTCTTTGGGACACATTAAAGCACAAAAAAGTTTACTCCGTAAACATAATTTAGCTAAAACTAAAGAGTCTCGTCTTGTTCTATTTTTAGCCAAATGGCCGAGCACAGGAGGAAAATGCCAAAATATCTTCAATTTTTCACATTAAATGTGTGTCCTTGTATTCTGACAGCATTTGAGTTTAGTGATTGATCATTATACTCACCATATATGTTACAATCATAAAGTGCCTTGGTTATTTTAGAAGAAATATGCCGAAGTTTCCGTACTCCCCCTCTTCACTGTTCTCTTCCCGGCTTGCTGCGCGATACGTCTTGCAAATTAGTTGGATGTGCGCAAGTCTTGAAATAAAAACGACAACTTATAAAATTGCTTTGAATTTTGAAAATGATTTTCAGCTAAGGCTAAGATGTGTTTTTTACGCACTTTAACTCCCATATTTGTTTATCATAAACATTTTCTTACACTGTCTGTTTCGTCGTCGGTGGAATGCAGTTTTTTCACCTGACCTTGACCTTAAAATCGGCAACTTTCCGCAAGTCGTTCACTTCATGAGCTGAACAGTTTGTTTGCCTTTTATCCAAACTCAAAATGTGCTTGTTGCTTTCCTAAGATATATACGTTTATTATACAGCTAGATAAGATATCAAAATTAATTTATGTGTCGATCAACAGGATACAACATAGGCTAGATCTATGCAGTGTGTCAGGTGTGACTTGGGGCCTATGCTATGGTTCGGAAAACTCTCTGCAATCATGTGCAACCCAAAAATACTGACTCAGTGTATGAAAATACAACACAATTTTTTTTATCAGATTTGACTTTATGTTTAAAATAACTAGATTTTTGCTTATAAGTATGAGTTGTGTCCCAAATATCTTCCAGATTTAACCAAAGTAAATTCTAAAAGGAAAAGTCAATCGCGCCAGAGGACGCTGCGAATAGGCGGTCCCGAATAGGCTTCAAATTAAAATAAGTATAGGTTAACATGAAAGAACCAAGCGAAAAAAAGCGTAATTGATAGTATAAAGTGTTTTGACGTACATACAAATACCCCCCCCCCCCAATCCATCCCAGATTCCAATATTAATTAAGTTTAGGCCCACTAGCTATAATATAGGACCTATAGGCCTATATATAGGCCTATGTCCATGTATTGTCAAGCGACCAGTAGACCTATTTAGGCCTACAACCGATTTACTCTGGCTCATCTCTTTCATTGGTAGGCCTACGTGGTGTCAACAAACGCCTCAAGAAAAGTATTTCCTATAGGCCAAATCGCCGTCACCTTAACAAGTTTTACAAGAACGGAAAAGACTATATATTTACAAATGGGTCGTAAATTAGAGATGGGAGGGGGAATACGTAAAAAAAGATCGTTCTCACTTTGCCCGCTGGGCCTATAAATAAATGAGGGAAATGGGGTGGGTCAGATGCCACAGCCCAAAGGAGGTTGAAGTCAGTGAGCATAGTTGATAGATCCGGTACACAACCTCAAATTGAATGTCCGACAAATTTATAGACTCCCAAATGAGTAGGCCTACGCTACATTTGAACCCGTCTCCGAATTAGAATAAGGATAGGCCTATCCATTAAACAGGTTCGTTGTTTTGTCCTGTCTATACCAATGTTATAAAACAGTCTGTCGCCAGAATTCAAGGGAGACATATATATATTTTATCAGACCGAAAGAGTGTATTTTTCCTTTTGTTTGAAAACACGTTACAAACGTAGGCCTAATCAGAATACCTCTCAATTAAGACTGTTCAGCTGAAGAGCAAAGAAGAATTATCTCTATTTATGTATTTATCATTGTCATTCACGTTTTGATAAGAAAAATAAACCCATTAGGCCTACTTTGATATTTCATAATCGTCATATGCATGAGAGAAGAATGCGAAGAGATAAACTGTAAGAAATTGAAAGTAGGCCCTATCGAAAGGACGTACCCTTTCACCTAACAAAATCAAAATCGATGTGTTTTTTTAAATATTGTTTCTACTTTAATGCTAATCCTTACTTAACTCAAATTCTGCAATTATAGAAAGTTTGTTACTAAGTCCGTGGGTAACAGCGCATTTTCACTTGGAATCAGCTTATAACAGCCTCATGTCATATTCAATCCTGGCCACCGCTGTGCACGTTAAAAAAAAAGACCAAAAGACCAGCGCTGACTGGGAGGTGGCCTTGAAGATGTTTTTTCTTTTTCTTTTATTCTGATAAAGAGGACTCGAATTAATTTTGTTCTCTTTTCTCTCAATAACTTCGGAATTCTTTTTTTGTTTTTCAGTTTTAAAATTATATCACAATCGCTACATGGTTAGACGTGCTTCTTGCATTTCTGAAATCTATCATGAAAAACCACACCAAATAATGTTAGATGTATGGGGCCTAATCCGCCTACTACAGTGCCATCTCCGCCGTTTCCATGAAACTGAAAAAGCCGTATACGTAGCCTATAGTCCGGGTGGGCCATTTTGGATCCTTGTCGCCGCTGATTTTACTCTAATATGTGAAGTTAGCAGATATTAACCAGTTTTGAGCCCTTTGGCTTACATTACCTTTAATTAATTCTGTTACAGGAAACGACCTAGCTGTAACGACGGATCGACCCCCCCCCCCCCCCCCACA